GAAAGAAAATACAGATTTTAACACATGTTGAAACTTTAGTGATTCCCCCCGAGGAGACGGTGCAGTACCAGGACACAACAGAGTTCAGATAACCGGGCGATGCTACAGGCTCGTACGTATATGATGAGAAAGTGCAGCGAATATAAACACAGTGTTCAACATGAGATGTTTCCGAGCTCAGGAGTCATCGTCGCTGTTGGTTATTCTGCAGCAGAGGGCGGATAATGACTAACAGACATGCATGCTGGGAGAGCACCAGGACTATTAACCTTGAATATCTGAGGCACACACACACACACACACATACAATCAGAATAGCGCTTCCATGCCAGGCGGAAGGAAATAGCAGATACATAATAAAGCACAGATGAAGATGATAATGAAATCTGGCCACGCTGCCGTGTGAAGAGATCCAGATCCCGGCAGGACGGCGGATGTTTGGTCGGACTCGGAGCTGGATTGTGCTTGATAGGCATCTTTAATAAGCCTGTAAATGTGTGAGGCCTCTAAGCTTGTTGAGACTTTGGATTTCTGTAATTTGGGAGGAAATGTTCCATCTCCCTGAACCTGGTTCAATAATTCTGTTGCTGTTTGGATAAATTACAGTAACAGCTTGTTTAACAGATTAAAACAGTCACACGTTAACTCATCTAATCCTTTTCGTTATTATCCCTGAGTCTCCCAGTGTGTTTTCATTAACTCGATGCTTCTATAAAACACCAATAATATCCGGACTAACCGACATTAACGCGCTGCTCTGCCACACATGCTGCACTTGCAGTTAAAACCAGTGAATAAAGTGAAATATGTGTTTAAAATCTGATTGAAATCTTCAGTATTCCTCTAATACATTCAATCCTGAAGATTAAATAAGCAACAATCAATGTTAAAGGTGAGAAAAAAACATCTTTAATCATTGCTTGTTTCAGCTGATTGATTTAAAAACTGTCTTTTCAAAATGTCAACAGGAAACTGTAAAACCTGCTCTTGTAAATATGATGTAATCATGACGTTCCCATTGTCTCCGTCGACTCCTATTTGTGCAGAGTCTTTGTCTCGTGTCTCCTCGTCTCTAAGTGTGTTTTATATAATAATGTACACACAACACTACGTCATGCTGCACAGTCCTCCCGGGCTACACTGCTCTGGCCTTGGCTCCAGGTGGATAAGTCGCTCTCTGTCTGTGAGTTTAATAACAACCGAACCATGAATGCTTCTGTTTGAGGGAGGATTTTTTTTTTTTTTCCTCTGAGTGGGAGAGGACGAAGAGAAACTTCTCTGCAGGGCAGCGAGCGGGAGGGCACCTCCCTCCTCAGAGCGGAGAGGACAGCGGGTCAGAGGACAGGGGCTCTTAAAAATGAAGTGAGAGTGAGAGAAACACGGAGATGCAGCGTCTGGATTCGTCTGAGGGAAAGTTTGGGAGAGCTTCGGGTTGTGATGGTAAAAGATGAGAAACTTCGATTTTGGAAAAACTGGTCATCGATCATGATAATATGTCGTCCCCCTGCAGGACCCACTGTCAGTCAGCAAATTGTAATATTCATCAACACACACGCACACACCTTGGCCTGAGGCTGCAGGAGGAGAGATTTGATCGAGTGAGTTCCAGGTCGAGTTATTGACCTGTCAATAGAACGTCTCCGGTTGGAACAGAGGACAGAGAAACTCACCGACCTGAACTTTACGTCCCATATATACATTATAAAATGCTTACATATATAAAACTAGATTTATATACGACAATCTGTTGTTTTCCAGCTCATAAACAGGTGAACCACGTTACACCAGATGAGTTTCATTCTACAGATTAACATCGTCTTTAACTGCCTCTGGTGAAAACATAAAAGAGTTCAGTGGGTCAAGATCAGAAAGCTGTGATTACGATGAGATGAGATCCAGATCCATGAAGGCTTCTCGAAGAAATCAAGGAAAACGTTGAATAACATCCTATTTCACAATGTTAACTGATCCAGATCCACAACAACACGTAATGAGATCTGCCTGAGGTCATGATGCTCCACAAACCTCACGGAAATCACTTCAGTCACTTTTTGTATCCTCGTGAATAAAATAAAAAGAGACCGCAGACAAACACATAACCTTCTGAGTGAAGATGATAAATCATGTGCAGATGAGGAAATAAACAAACTGCAACACTTCATAAAGGATTGCAAATAAACATATAGAATACTGAAGGTACAGATTGGTTCCAATAACAAACTGTTATAATAAAATCCTCAGCTCTCACAGCCTCACACCTGACGCTCGGCTCGCTGCAGCAGCTCTGACACTTATATCATGGAGCATTAATACTTATGGTTTGTGTTTTATTTCCACACCAGTACACGACACCGCAGGTATGTGTGTTGTTTCCATAAAGACCAGTGCAGGTCACATGAAAATGAACAGGACAGAGTTTTATTGCGGTGCCACACTGATGTTTTCAGCATGTGAGGGGAACATAGTACAGTGTGTGGGCAGGTCTATAGTGTTTGAACAGTGCATTCCACAGTCAGGCTTTAGAATAACATTCCCTTCATGCACTGCTACTGGTATAAATAACTCCAAGTGGCCGGTGAGCTAACGATCAGGCCTCTCATGCACATACAGCACCTGTACACTCACATTTACGAAGCAGGCCGAGAGCATCAGTTCTTCTCTGGAACGACTGCTTATTTTGTTTTATGCAGCGAAAACTTTAGAGCACAGCGGAGGAGGATGGTGAAATCTCATGCTGGATTATTCTCTCAGTTTTATCAGCAGGAGTAAAGACTCGGAGAGATATATGAGAGTTCACAGCTGGTTCACTCCCTATGTCGACGTAACCAGGAATTCTTCTGGGGTTTAAAAGGAAAAACTCTGGATTCCTGAGAAGAATCAGATACGAACAAAACGTCCATGACGAATAAAAGCTCATTTTCTAAACACAGATCTTTATCCACATAAAATAACTTTGATGTGTTTTCAAAGGAATCTGTTTTTATAGGAGCAAATTGCTGAAGTATCTGCAGGAGAAAATCAAATATTTACGAATATATGAAATATAAATATTTGCAGTATAGTTGATAAGGAGCTGGTGACGATGACAAACATTTTTATGTACAACATAAATAACGTGTGTATTTTAATTTGATGTAACATTGTGCTATAGGTTCGTTTTACAGCTTAATGAAAGACGGACGTATCAGCATCTCCAGTTCGTTCCTTCATAATAGTACATATAGTAATATAAATATAAATACAAATGAAATACTCCCTAAAGCTTTTGGAGTATGTCCGTGTTTTAGGTAGTATTTACAGGAACGACTACTCATATAATCGGTGGGATCGGGACTTGAATAATCAGAATTCAGGGTTTCGGGTGATAAATTCCAGTGATGAGAATAAAAACAGTAAGAAAAGATTTATGAATATATTGAAAAGCATCTCACAATCTCAATGAATAGGCATTATCATGCTTTGCTCAAACATCAGATCATATGTTTGCGCGACATGTTTTAAGACTAAAGGCAGTTGGGTAAAGAAACGTCTCCAGTAGATGAGAGCGGCACGTTAACTTATCTCAGGAAGTCGGAGCAGTCAGAGTGAGAACATCCTGTTTGGTGCACAGTGTCCTGAGGCCTGGGCAGATCTGCTGGTGGAGTTTACTCTGGGAGGATTAAGTATGAGAATGTTTGCTCTGTCGTGGCTGAAGTCCTTGAGGATCTCCGCTCGCCCAGTGCCAACCCCCCCACCCCCACCCCCGTCCTGTGGCTAACAGCTCTGACGAACCCCGGGCACCAAAACCTCTCTGAAGTCTGCAGTCGGCCGAAGAGACGCCTCCTAACACCAAAGATCTTCTAAAAGATCAGACGCACAGGGGAACTTCAAATGTGTAACGTTCACACACACACACGCAGGCCGACAGACGCACCTGAGAAAACACACACTCCTGAGCTCACACGCACGATGACTTCAAGAGGTCGGGAGTCAAAACTTAACGTTGAGCCAAGGACCACAGAGGAACTGACAGAAGCTGAACCACAGGTTAAAAAGCTGTTTCTTCACCTCAGACTCCTGCAGCAATGAAAGCCTCGTCTTTCTTCCTCCAGCAGCAACGAAAATAAAAATGATTAAGATCTTTACTCTCCGATGTTTCTGGTGCAAACACGGATCACAGATCTCCTGAGCTTCTGAACCCTGGTCCTCCACGTTGTTTACATCTTTCTCTTCGTGGATTTAGATCATCAGACTGATCAGCCTGGGGAGAGGAGCTCTCTCATGTCTCCTGTGTTTTCTCCGACTTCTTCTACTTCTCAAATCTGGAGCCGGCAGGAATCGCTTTCTGATTCGTTTGTGGTTCAAACGTTCAAGCCGTCACTTTGACGAGAAGTCGACTCTTCTTCTTGTCTCTCACGGTGACTGAGTCTCCTCACGTGGAACGGACTTTAATGGATATGCTGTGGTTATCTGGTGTTTGTGCTCCGTGTCTCAGAGTCTTTGAGTTTTCTTCTTGTGGTTTTCTCGATGTTTTCACGTCACAATGATCAGAATCTTTCATCTCTGAGTGTCTCACTCTTCTGTTGCATCACTGCTGATGTTGATGCGTCTTTAGAAAACAGATTTATTGGACTAATTCAGTTTTAAACTATATTGACTCATATTTATGTAAATACAGGAGATTTTGAACATGTGTGTGGAAAGACTCTGATGTTTACATTTGAATCAATGTCCCAGTTTTGTCCACGAGAACCGTAATTATTCAGATCCATGTTTACGTGATTATAACAGTATCCAGATCATTTGGGCTCGGCTGCGTCTCAGAATCAGATTTGGATTCATACATGTTTACTAAAGTACACAGTCAGTCGAGGGAACAAATCAGATCGTAGGATAATAGCTTCAGATTCTAAGTATTTAGTGACGACCAGGTACCAGGGCTGCACAGAAACTTCCCATCTGAGAAATATCGGTGAAAGTTCCCTCTCCGCTCGTCTCACCCAGACCTCGAGGCTCTCACTTCTATCAGAGTACCGTCAAGAAGACGCTCTCTATCTTATAAAATCTCCTCCCTCGTTAAGTTTCCTCCGATCCTACTTGTTTCTTTGCTGCAGCAGGACGATAGTGAGGCCACAAAAAGGGGATTTGGTGCTGAAAGAATAAAAGATGCTGAATATATGAAACACATTTTTTATGCTGCGTGGTCATCGATCATTTCACTGGAATCTGCAAAGAGTTAAAGACAAAACACACGATGCAGCTGCAGCCTGGATTTATTAACAAGCTTCCAAAGACCTCAGATCCTTCAGAAGAGGAGACGACGAGTGTGTACATGTGAGACATTATCAGTTGTCTCATGAATCCGTCTCATGTTTATTTCATCGTAAAGTTCTTTATCATCGTGAGATCGAAGGTTTTTCATTTATTTTCCAGAAAGTAAATCATGGATTTTAATTTTAAAAAAGACGTTAAGACGGCTGATATTCATGTGTGTGATTTGACGCAGATCCAATTCAAATAGAAGATGTTTCCTCGTGTCCAACTCTCTAAAGAGAAATGCTCTTCAAGTAAAGACTATTATTATTATTATGGCAGCTGTCAGTCATTGGATGTTGTTAAAGCACCAAGTGATCTGCAGTGGATCCAGCTGACCTTTCCAGATGTTCCTTCTTCCACTGCAGGCGTCCAATCTGGAACCAGAAGACTCTGGAGGGTGGATTTCATGTGGTGGCACCAGCGAGTGGATTCTTCTCATTCTCAGTCATTTCCTGGTCTTTCATCCCTCGTTCTCAGGGAGAGTGAAGACAGGAGCTGCTGAGATGAGAAAGAAAACCACAATGACTCACTCAGATACAACCGGAGGCGGTGACAGAAAACTGAGGGACACGGTTCATACAGTTACACCTAGAGAGGAAGGAGGGACGGGTTAACGCTATGAGGTCGGATCTCAGTTAAAAATCACACCTCCTGTCTCTTCACTTCTTTCTTAATTTCTAAATTGCTCTGGATTGGTCAGTGAGGAAAATGGACCAACGTTCGAGGGGGCGGGGACTGACTGTCCATGAAACTGTAAATCACAGATATGAAAAACCTGAAGCTGCAGATCACACATGGATCCACTGAACTACAGAAGCATCGGAACCAAAAACATCACAAGAAAAGATGAAGTCTCAGGTCGAGTGAGGATGTGGATGTTGAAGATGAACCCAAATGTGATTCACCACAATAAAAGGCTCAAAAATCAAGTTTAAAAAAAAAAAAATCTGATCCAAGAAATGAAGCGTGTCAGAAGAAAACTACAGTCGGCTCTGGATCTCTCAGGGACATCTGTGTCGGACTCCAGCTCCACAGCTGGTTTGGCAGAGCCGAGTCGTCGGGCTGTTCAATAATGGGCCCGTGCGTCAGGGACGGACAGATTGAGGGGAGGCGGAGGAAGATGCTGGCTGAGTTTGCTGCTTTCTGCTCCATAAATGGCACAGATGGCCCCGAAGGCTTTCTGATACTGAAGCAAGAGGCAGCAGAGATAATCTCAAAATAAATCTGAAAGCATTTTATACATAACGAGCTCTGATCTAGAGGAAGACTAAACCTTAGATTAGTAAACGTTGAATCTGGGCTCGAGGTGTGTTAAGGTTTCTCTGTATAACCGTCGATTCATCACTTTGCTCCAGTTTGTGTCCCATCCGGACAAATTTGAAGATGTTGTTTTAAGGTTATTTTAAAACTACCTGGTGTTACTCTTACTCACTGCAGATTTTAGAATTTGCTTTTCTATTTGAGGTTTTGCAGCCGTCAGCTCTTTGGAGACGACGAGCTAAATCCGTCCGTCCAGAATCAACAGAACCCTGAGTTTATGTGTAAAACCTACAGCAACAAACCTGGACAAGGTGTTCTCCATATTCACACAGTTACTGAGTGTGTCCAAACAAGCCCACGGCTAAACTTAGAGCGAGACTAAGTATTCCTCTCTATTGTGAGTAAAACAGGCCTGCGTCCAAAAAGAGCTCAGTACTTTTCCTAAACGAAATGTGTGCGTCCGGTTTGTGTCGTGAGCAGAAAATCACACGCCGGGGAAGAAGCTGGTATTTCTTTACTTTGGAGACTCGTCCTCTTCATTGCTCCAGTGAATAAAAACATTTTCAAAGTCTTCTGTGTTTCCACGTTAGAGACATTATCACGAGCGTCTGCTTGATGTGAGTAACAGGTTTCCTGCTTCCAGATGATTCAGACATCCTGGTAACTACCTGAGGAATCCCAGCCTAACCCCCAGCTGAGATGGAGCTGAATCGACCACAGATTCCCTCCCAGTGTTTCCACTGACGTCACTGCACGTACAGGACTCTCAGACGGACTCTATGACATCATCCTCGAGGTATGGAGCGCCGCTGCACACTCATGACAGCTGCCATTTGTTTCCCAGGAACCCTGCAGTGCATTATGGGTCAGGAGTCACAGAGCTGATGTCACTTGCCAAGTAGTTTCCGAGGAAGACGAGGAAATTCTGCTTCACTAGTCAGACATTATTGACGTCACAAATATTTAAGTGCAGTTTAACAGATGTTCTCCATAAAATGTGACTGTTTGCAGTATTGTGCTTATTTCACAGGATGTTTTTTAGATTAAGAAAAAAAACATTTTATGATAAAAAATAATATGTACACGTTGGAAAGCACCTTGTACCTGCAGGAATCTATACAACACAGTTTGTTATTTCTCCTCACAGCTCCACTTTGAACTAATCCTGATCGCTGCGTCTCAGCGGTGAATTCCTGTGGTGATTGTGTCCGTGAAAAGAAAACAGCCTTCAAAAACCTGGCGCTCCGAGTCTCTGCCTGGGCTGAAACTCTGACAACAGGAGTTCAGGTGTGTGGGAGTTATTCTTGCTGAACTATTTTGAGAAGCAGCAGCCGGGCAGGTATCTGACATTTGTGAAAGGCTTTCGTTACGTCTCACTGCAGCAGCATTGAAGCCATTAACTGCTCCAGCATTTAGAGAAATGTGATTATTTGCATCAAGTTTGGTGAGAAGAACAATGTTGACTTGATGTCTGTGTATTCAGTAAACTGGCAGCTCTGTGACCTGCTGTTATCACAGATGATGAAAATAGCCTTTACTAAGCTTCCATCAGCACCAGAACTACATGTTGATATTATCAGTGAATCTGACCAATTACTCTCTTGATCGATGAAACGTTTTGTTTTTCTGAGTAAGAATCTGAAAGCTTGAGATGTTCAAACACCAAATCATCACAGGTGAAATCCAGGAAGTGTTTTATTCTGCTGTTCAATTATCAGCAAAATAAACTTAAACAACATAAACTGTTTATTAGTCGAGCGAGGAACAAATGAATTGATGCTGATCATTAGTTTCAAAAGTTTTCATTAATTAACAGAAATGTTTGTGCACGTAAATGAAAGTATGACACACGTGTCTTCAGCTGAAATCACAAACGAGTCCGTCGTGTTTATTAGCATGTGTAGCACTCATGCTAACCTCGTGTGTTCTGTGCAGCTACTGAGAGTTTAAGCTAGCAGCTTCACGGTCTCACGGGGAACTGAAACACACGAGCTTCAGTCCGTTTGTCAAACACTCAGAGGAAACGTGTTCAGGAGCAGAACACGCGTCCAGCACGTACCTGCGGCAGGTGAGCGACTCTTCTTCCTCTGTGGTCGCTTCACTGACGCGTCGCGGCCGAGAGCTCCCCCTTCCGGAGACTGCAGGCATCACCAATCAATCAGGAGCAAAGGCTGAACAGGTCGATCACAGATCACAGTTTAGATTCGAACATGATTCATTTTAACTTATATCTTTACAAACTTTTAACATCTTTACAAACTTTTAACATCTTTACAAACATTTTAACATCTTTACAAACATTTAACATCTTTACAAACATTTAACATCTTTACAAACTTTTTAACTTCTTTACAAACTTTTTAACTTCTTTACAAACTTTTAACATCTTTATACACATTTAACACTTTGTTTTTTGACACATTTCATATCTAGAGTTTACTTTTAATAACTGTTTTACAAGTTTCTCAATAAAATCACAACCCCTCACTACCCAACGTGTGTGTGTGTGTGTGTGTGTGTGTGTGTGTGTGTGCGTGTGTGTGTGTGTGTGTGTGTGTGTGTGTGAGTCAAGGCAGAGATGCAGGTAAAAAGATTCAACAGCCCCATCTACAGGCCACACTTGGCAAACACATGCTGGCCGCAGGGCCTGGACTCATCTTGGTTAAAGTTTAAAGAAAAGTCCTCGTGTCCATGTGTGATGTTCTGACAGAAGCACGCCACCTCCTGGAGAAAGCAAGAACACGCCCCTGTGGTGTGGCCTCCTTTAACAGCAAGCAGACACAAGAGGGAGCCGTTGGTCCAGTAATGCGTCCTTGACCTGGAGTGACCCATGAGGAACAGGAAGACCTCCCTAAATCCTGACCTGGGTGAAACCCCTCCATCGCGTGGCCTGTTATTATTTCAGAGGTAATAAAATGTCATTTTCTGACACTCTGAGGCCACGTGACTTGAGTTGGCTCGGTCGTGATTGGCTCGGTGAAGTTGTTTCAAAGTAACTCATTCTTTCAGCCTCCACTAATTACCTGCTCCATGTTGGTGCATGTCTGCGTTTGAGTAAACAGACGACTCCTCTTCACAACGTGCAGGTTCATGAGATGTTTCACGGTGGAGGAAATACACTGGTCTGTGCTAAGATCTGTTATTCACTTCATTTTTCACGTCCTTGTCTGAGCACAGACTCATATTTTTTTATTTTAAGCACCACACAAACATTCTGTTATGGTCTTTCTCAACCTGCCGCAGCATGAATATATTTTTTTCTTTTGCAGCTAATAAAATCAATGTTTCAATTCAATTTGAAAGTTTCCCTGTGAGATTTATCTTTCTGACAACATCCTAAAATGATCTGTGGACCGTGTGGTTTCAGGGTTAGGGTTCATGGGTGGTCCTAACCTCTGCACTGCTCTTTGACAATCTATTACACAGCTCAGCAGCATTGAATGGATCTGGACTGCATCTTATCTACGCGTCTTTAAAGCTGCTGCGACAGGATGAATTGTGATAGATTGCACGACTGCAGTTTTCACCTGATCCCTCTCGAATGTGGAAGTTTTGCTTCTTCCAACCAAAAGAAAATCTTAAAACCACAAAGACGCAGTTTGTTTCGGTATTTTACAGATTAGGAGGGAAAGTGACGTCTGAAGTGAAGGAACAAGATCATTCGTCAGGTCTGTTTAAGATTTATTTATTTCTGTCTCTGCCCCCCCCCCCCCAGTACCCCTGCATTCCCCGGCTCTCGTCTCTGTTGCCCCTCCACCCCTCCTCTCTCCTGAGGGGCCTGCAGTCAACTTTGACCTGCACAAAGAGCTCGTTAAATGCCTGTGTAATCCCTGTGTCTATGTTTGCGTGTGTGTTTTTATTCACTGTTCTCTTCTTCTCTTGCCAGTGCCACGTCCGGGTGCGTATGTTTCGTGTGTCCTCCTCGGCTCAGTCACTCAGGAGACGTCTTTTCTTGGCCCATCAGATCAACCTGATTGATCACGAGGCCTGAAGCTTTGACTCACTCCCCGACAAGCTCATCCTAAAGCCCGAGGGCGGCCTCCCTCAGCCCAATCAATACTTTCAACAAGTCTCACCATATAAAGTCTCCTCTCTTTCTGAATTACAGCCCCTTCAGGGGTTTAGAGGAAGAAGAAAAATTATGAAAATTCTCCAGCCAGTCTGGAGCTTCTTGCGGTGCCAACTGCGGCGGTCCCTTTGAATAAAGACAGATGATCCAGCGGTTTGACAGTGAGTCACTGACATCCACAGACATGCCTGTCTCTTCCTCTCCGCCTGGTGTTCACCTCAGTGTGGAATGCAGAGGAATGCTCCTCATGGCGAACAACCCAGGATATGAATCAACTCACCCGCCTTGCATTTACACAGAGGCGAATGGGGAAAGTGTGTGCATGCGTGCACGCCGGTGATATAGAAAATTGTTGTGGTGAGAGTCACAGCTTAGATGAGGATAGTGTTTATAGTATAACAGAAATATGTGGCGGAACTGTTTAAATAAGGATGTTTGTACAGGCTCTGCAAATAAAGGTGCATGCATGCAGCGGGTTTCAGAATGAAAAAATAAAGATGTGGGTTTGAACTTGAGACGCTGCTGCAGATCTTGATCTGAAGAGGGGTTTGATCTAACACCTATTTCAATAGTCATAAAATCTGTCTCTAGTGCTAAATGGTAAATAGTTTGTATTTCTATCGATCTTTTCTCGTCTTGATGCATCACAGGCGTCAGGGGAAAGTCTTCATGACGCAGACTGGGGAAGACTGGGATCAAACCACTGACCTTCTGGTTAGAGGACAACAGCTCTAACCCTGCAAGTGTGTCTGTGTGTGTGTGCTCATTTGCCTATGGGGGTTTCTGCCAGACCAGTGTTATCTAAACTGCCCCAACAAGCATTTCGTTTTGCATGTGCTCAGATAAGCTCACCGTGGTGAACGCATATTAGCACCCGTGGGTTACCCATTCCATCCTGGTCCTCTTTGTATAGAGCAGGAATGCAGGGTGGTGCTGTGGCTCCTCTGAATAACTAATCACTCACTCCTCTGACTCTGGTCCACAGATCTCTGTCTGCCCGAAGCTTCTCCCACAGGCCGGTGTCGCTGCTGTGACTCTGACAGACACACGTCACTGTTTTTACCCCGATTCCGAACATGGCTGCACGGGTTCATCCCAGACACAGGAGTGCGATATGAAGTCTTCATGAACTGCAGCCGAGGATCCAGAGTCGAAGGTCAAGCTACTGATTTGCAACCCCCCCCCCCCCCACCCAATCCACACACGGAGCCCCCTCCACTCGCCACACTTCAGACAGAGGGCGCTGAACATGTCATGACCCGACAGCCCCGTTCACCACCACAGGGGGGGGGGGGACACACAAGGTGCACGAGAGATGACCTCACCCCAATATTTTCTCATGGTCCCTGTCATCCATGACGAGCCGACGGTTCAAATCCTGACAATATCCACCTCAACGTCTTTTACCTTCTATTTTCCTCTTCTTGCCGTTCTCTCCTTCTGTGCCTCCCCTCTCTCTCCCTGGTGGAATCCCAGCCCCATCCACCTAAGTGTCACTGAAGAATGTTCCATCATTTAAACGGGGGAGAATGCTCCGCTAATATATAACCAATTACACTGGTCACATTTCCTGTGTCTCCTTTGAGCTCTCTGCAGGCTCAAAGTGCCAATCAGGCCTGGAATGCCAGAACATGGCTCTTATTTGCCAGGGGTCAGCGCACCAGTAACCTCACATTCTAAAGGACCATTGTTCCCATGGCCAGAAAACTCAGAGAGGCACACATACACATCCAGGGTGAAAGACACACACACAAACCCTGGCCCCTGGAGGCCCCACATCAAGGGCCCGCTCTGTTTAAACAGCATCCGCCTGCACAGCCACCCGCCATGAAAGGGATTAAACAAGGTGTGTGTGCATGTGTGTGTGTGTGTGCTTATACGTGTACGTGCACTGCAAAAAAAAATGTCAGTGTTAATAATTCGTTTAATCCAGTGTTGAGTCGTAACACTTTAAAGTTTACCTCTAAGGTGACGTCATGATTTAAGACTAAGAATTTGTGGAATGGAGCAATGACGACTATGTGATGTGCAACTTTTGATTTGAATGGAACAATGTGGATCCGTATAAAATAATTATATATATTAGATTCCAGAATGCCTCAAGTTAACATGTTTTCAGTGTGTGTGTGTGTGTGTGTGTGTGTGTGTGTGTGTGTGCAAGCGAGCGTGGGAGACATGGACAGAGCGCAGCAGAGACTGAGTGTGTCTGGCTGATTGCAGGTACTCAAACTGTCCTTGCACAAAGCGGAGCACCAGAGCGAGGATGCTTTATAAAGCGCCGCGCCTTCTAGAGCGTTCACACTCTGTCTGTTACACTTCTTTGCAAGAGCTGAAAACACAAACTCCGACGACTCCGTGTGAATGAGCTCAACTTTAAATCACACAACACCCAGTGGCTCCTACATAACGAACACACACTGCCCACGTCTCTTCCTCCACTCAGCTGAGCCTCTTCGTCAGCAGCTCAATCAGAACCAGAAGCTTTTTACCACAAGTGGACAGAAGGATGTTGACACTGAAATATAACGTCCACGTGGACGTTAATACGTTGCTGTCGGAAAGCGGCTTCAGGGATTTGATCCATGGACTGAAAATAGTCAGTCTCAGCTGTCAATCATGATGTCTCAGCCCGTTTATATATGATCAATAACAAATTAAAACCAAACTTGAACAAACCTCGGTCTGATGACAAAAACATCTTTGACATATGCTAACACGAAGGTGGCCGAGCTGTGACCAGTACTGCAGCCAGCCACCAGGGGGAGATCCAGATCTCTTGGCTTCACTTCTAGGAGATGTGAAGTCGTCAATCTTTACAAACAGCCTGTGGTTTGCGTCGTGGCTGCCTCGTGAGTCCAGGTCCAGTTCATCCCCGAGCTGTTGACATGAGGTCTTCATGATTCTCACTTTGGGAACAGTGGGGGTGCAGTTTGAAAGAGAGAAGGTGGTGTTCAGAATATCATTGGATGCTGAAGCATCAAGATCACTGAACTAGAACTAAATGATCTTTTGTTTCTAACTTTCTAACTCAAGGTCCACTCGCTGTTCCAGAGCGTTCGGCTGCACGTGGCCTCGGTTAATGAAGACCACGAGATGAAACCTGATCCTGA